CGCGGGGCCCGTTGGCAGGCGGGGAGCGCCTGTCGCATGGCGGGGCCCCTCGCCCTCTTGTGCTTCCCGAGGAAAGCCGATGGCAGCGCGGGTTCGTCTGGCAGGTAGGGGCCGTGTGCTTTGTCTCGGAGATGCTTAGCAGCAAATTGCACTGTGGAATTTGTACGCGTGTTGGGTTTTGTGTTTACTCGAGTGGACAGCCCTGACCTTTCAAAAGTTCGAGCTTGGCGGCGCGGGAGGGGAAGGTACCGTAGCATGCACCAGTACTTAACTTTACCAGAAAATAACAACTATTTTTTTCTGGGATTAATTTTAAATTTTTACTGGAAAGTTAGCGGAGTGTTTTGGTTTTGTTATTTTTCAATTAAATTACACTTGGTTTTATTCAAACACTTAATTTTGGATCACATCGCAGGAATTATCTTTTGTTTTTGTTAAACATGAGTGTTCTGTTGCATCATTTCATAAGTGTGATCCCTGACATGAAAAAGTGAACCTAAATTAGCTGAAAGTAAATACTGAGAATGGCTTTTTTCACTTTAAGTGATGCAGCACAGAGTGTAAAAGGCAGTTGTTGCTGAGCAGTGCTTATACTAAGTCAAGGACTTTTCAGCTTCCCATGCCCTGCCAGGTGCACAAGAAGCTGGGAGGGAGCAACAACTAAAACATCGGTGTGTTATCGACATCGTTCTCATCCTAAATCCAAAGCACAGCACTGTACCAGCTACTAGGGAAAAAATGCACGCTATCCCAGCCAAAACCAGGACAATCTGTCTTGAAGAAAGTCTGAAAAACCCATGGGCGTTATTAAATAAATACAAACTTGCAGAATGAGTCTAGTCTGGGTCAGCACTTACTGTCTGGCCTATGGAGCACCAAAGCTGTGTTTTAGCTCAAGACTAATTTTTCAGCTTCAAGGCTTGCTCCTGGAAGATTTCTTTCATCTCACAAAGTTCCGTCAACAGGGATATCAGTCAGGTAGTTTGGTTTGCCCACACACAATAAATTTCAGGATAGAGATCTAAATTTGTACAATTAACTTTTCTCTTACGAATTTCTGTCCTGTAGACCTTTAATTCCGTGTCAGTAGTCGTGCTGAAGACTAACGGGACTGCTCATCCCGGTAAATGGTGTCTACCAGTGTTTTCACAAGCTCTTAGACACTGATCCTACCAACAGAAAAAAATACAATTCTGCACGAGTTGAGTGGGATAACTTCTCTTAGTAAAATGATGAATGTGCATATATGTGCGTTAAGGATACAGATTTCAAGTTCTTTCTAGCTGTTTATCTCATGCTCTCCTGAAATCTGTTGGAGTTCTTGGTGCTATAACAACTGAATCCGGTGCTTTTATTATTATTTCTGTTATAGGAAATACCGTCTTTGATGAGTATCTTTTGCTAAATAGGATCACACAGAATCATTTCCTGTAAGTTAGTTCATCATATATTGGATTTTTATTTAACAGCTACAACATATTGTCTCTTTCAGCTAACCATGTCTTTAAACTCATCTACACTTTTAAGTGAAGAAAACTCTCAAGGACCAAGAAGAAATACTGAATGTTTGGAAAGTCTAGAATTGCAGACTCCATCATCGTTTCAAGATAACCCACTTCAACAATTACAGTTAGCATCGCAGGAAGTACTTGAAAAGGCAAAAAAGAGCGGGAGATCAAAATGCCCCCGATGCAGTAGTTCAAGGATGTTTTATTGTTATACATGCTTTGTTCCTGTTGAAACTGTCCCTACCAAAGAAATTCCGACTGTGAAGGTTAATACTTCTTACGGATTTTTTATAATATTCTTGTGCCTTCTAGTTACTGAGGACAGAGAACAGACAGTCTGTCCGTGACCATTTCTTTTCTGATTCATTCTTTATGGACATTCATCTTCAACACAGCAATAAGTACGAATAAACTACAGCTAGATAAAATTATTGTGCTTATTTGAGTAATTACATGTACAAACACTGACAATGTTCCAGTCCTCACATAAACATTTATGTATCTACTAGATGAGAAGATAAGCTGAAGTCACTCAGCTCTTCATGCAAATGACTATGTTTTAACTTAGTTCTTAAAAGTTTCTTTACAGTGCTCTTACCTTCATTCTTCAGTTTCTAAGAACTCTGGCCAGAAGAGAGTGTATTGTGAACAAAAAATATGACTTGTCGGTAACCAAGAGTGAATTTTACATAATATGTGAACTGAAAGGCATTCCTAAATGTCATGGTTGTATAATTCAGATAACCACTCTTAAAATGTAAATAAAGAATAAAAAGCGTAATGCCCTTCAGCTAAAATACTTGGAGAAACCATCAAGGAGGACTGAGAGACATTTTGCAAAATCACCTAGGAACTAAAACGCATTTTGAAGACACTTTCTACTTTGAAAGTATCGTGAAAATACTTTACAAGTACTTTGGAAATTTGACCTAGTGGATTTAGGTGTATTTTCATTGAAATGGCCGTTTTTGCAATACCTAATACAGAAAACTCTTCATATTTAGGACCATTATATTGCTCGAATTAAGACCACATCTTATTTACCTTATTGATACTACTTCGAGAGGTTGTACCATGCTACTACTGCAGCATTCCAAATTGCATTCATTGCATGCTTAGGTATTTACATGAACTGAGAGGCTGTAACAAGTGCTTCTTGTCACTTGTCTCTAGTCTAGTTCTAAACCTATTAAAACAAAAACATTGTCAAAAATTGTCAAATGTGTCTTAATTACATGCCCTTAGGGATTTCACCTGGATTTTGCATAAATTGTTGTACAGATTTTTGTACCTGTATATGTGATCGTAAATACTGCTTGTTTGTTTCTTTTTTCTTTCTCACTGTAGTTACCTTTGAAGATTGACATTATTAAACACCCAAATGAAACAGATGGCAAAAGCACTGCTGTGCATGCTAAGCTCCTGGCACCTGATGATGTCACAATTTATAAATACCCTTGCATTCCAGAATATGAAGAAAAACAACATGAAGTAAGAAATTCTATATAAGCAGCAGGGCTTTGTGCTGGGGAGATGCAGAGGTTATCTTCTGTACTTCCTCCTGCACTCTGCTGGGAGGGAGCGGGAGGAAAGCACTATTCTCTTAATCCAGTCCACTCCATCTTGAGCTCGCTCAAAGCTTGGGCCTACAAACGTACAGTGGTTATGGACTGTCCTCCAAAGCTTGGAAAAACTGTAGCACTATCTCACCACCTTGAATTTCCTATGTTCACCACCTTAGTAATGGATAATTTGATTCATTGTGTGCCATAAGTATTTTGCCCAAACATACGAAAGCATTCAACTTAGGGCAAGTTAAACAGCAGTTAGGTGTTGTGCTCATCATATTCAGCAGCTGCAGTGTTTAAACATCTGTAAAATTGTTAACATTCACTGTTAGAGAGAAAACCTACTGAAATGCAACTATTGTCTATCGCAGTCAGCACAGAGCCTGAAAAAAGTGAGCTATGAACTTGGATTTATATGCTCATTTAAATGGCGTGATTAACCTGAAATCTAATATTTACACATTTGATGTCATAATGAATACTTTCATTATTGTTTGACTACATGGAGAAGAGGATAATACACATAACTCACAGAGATGTTATTTTCCTCAAGGAAGGAGCCATCAAGGAAAGCATAGGTGGCAAAGAGGCAGGAAGCTGGAGAAAAGCAATGGGGAAGGCAGGCAAAAATGGGAAGAGATCGCAGTGACTTTGTATTGTCCAGGCTTCCCAAGTCACAGATTCTGAATGCTGCAATAAGCTGCTGAAAAAATACGAAGTAAGGCCATCACTTCACGCAAGATAGTTGTGGGACCTGCAACAGGCACAAGGGCGGAAGAGATTATTTCCTCTGACCTAAAATTTGTGAATGAAATTAGAAACTACTTGTTATGGCCTTCCCGCCCCATATACTGCAATGACAAGTGAAATTGGAACGTCCTCTGGGCTGACATCATTGCCTTGGCTGAAAAAAACTTTTTTTTTTTTTTTACAGAAGTATTAGAGTTGGTAGTAGAAGCATGGAGGTGACATTTAATTAAAGATCTCTAATAAGTATCTTTATTCATTATTTTAATATAGTCTTTTATCCTTTTAGATAATAGACTATTTTTTAAGAGATACTCTTTCATCTTCCCCTGACTTAAATGTTTGTGGGTGGGGATAGAAAATTTCTGTTCTTTAATGAAACAGTTCCTGGTGTTTTACTAGATTTTGTTGACACTCAGATTTCTTTCTTTTCTTCATTCAGATAGCACTTATATTTCCTGGCCCCAATTCAATTTCAGTAAAAGATATTGCTTTCCATCTCCAAAAATACACTAAGAAAGGTGTTTATGATAACGACAATGACTGTTCCAGAGAGCCATTTCTTAAGCAAGCAAAAATAGAACCCAAAGAAGAAAAGAATCTAAATGAATGCAGCTCAAGCAACAGGAGTGAAGGCACTAGACTGAAGAAAATAATATTTATTGACAGCACCTGGAATCAAACTAACAAAATAATAACTGATGAACGACTTCAAGGTAAAAAAAAAAGTTGATACTGAGATGTTATTGCTACAGAAATGATTAAGGGAAATATATGTCTATGTAACAGACCTGAGCATAAGGGTACACCTAACCCTATATCTGAGTATACATGAAAGATCCAACATCCTATTTCAGTGCTGTAGAAGACTTCCTGAGCCAAAGACTCCATTACTTTTCATGTCATATAATTTGCTTTGCAAAATGATAAGACTCGTATTAAGAAAGCATTTACATTTATTTCTCCCACTTCTTTCTTGGAACAAATTTCCTCAGTCTCACAGAATGGAAGCTGTTACGTTAGACAATAGAAGAACAGTAGTTTGAATGACCTCTGAAGGAAGCCGGAAGGATTTCCCTTGCAGGTGGCTATTTGCTTTTTCAGGAGACCCAGGGGAGAATTTTTGTACACGCTAGTGGCAGACGGGCCACTAGAAGGTGAAAGAGGGATGTAGGAGGTACAGCACAAGTATGCCATGGCTTGGTTTCTTTTATCTAGTAAAGTTCTTTGTTTCATTATCATTTCAATGACCTCGCTACTTTCCAGACAAAAGGGGAATGCCTGCTTGCCCTCCACACCATCCCATCTCTGAAAGCAAAAACTTGTAATTCTGCAAAGGTTTTTTGTCTCCGGTTCATTACAAGAAGTTTACAGTTAAGTATTCTAAGTAAAACCACAAAAGATAAAACAATTTAGCAAAAGCATTCCATTTCCTTTGAGATAAATAGGAATTTGAAAATACTTTCATTAGTGGAAAAGGTGCACTTAGTTGGGAGGCAGACTATCAAGTTTATATGTAATACATATAACTGCCTACCAGTGCCTGCTTCGCACTGGACCCTACAAGGAATTTCACAGACTTCTTACATGCAAGATTAATGTTGCCTTGCTGTCTAGTCAGTTTATTAAAGAATCCCACATGTGAGTATAATGTATTGGCTAATTAAAATCTGTTACCAAGTATTTAGTTTAACACAAAACATACTCTATCATCAAATAAATTGAAGTATTACTGGAAAGATTAGAGTAATTGCATGTTGCAAGTTACTGTAAAGCATTTGAAACTTATTTTAAAAGGATGAATTTAAGAAAACTAACAGGCAGCCAGGGGAACTGAAGATTTCCGTGGAAGCCTATGTGGTGTATCAGTCAAAAATTCATGATTGTTGTTACTTTGGAGCTGTTAAAGAATGGTTTCCAGTTACCCCAATGTGAATGCTGAACAGGTGGACTCTTCCTCCTTTCTAGAACTTCATCTCTGTTCCAGCGGTATTCCAGTCCTCTGTTTCCCTGAGCACCTTTCAGGATTGCAGTAAGGTGTGACTAGCGTCATGCAAGCGAGTCTCTCTTATCCACACCCAGGGGAGAATTTTATTCTCCATAGAGCAAGTATAGCAGTATGCACGACCCGTGCATTTGTCGCTTTCCTAAGTACCTCTCATAAAGGACGTAAGTTGCATTAATAGTCCTTTTAGAGACTGCAATTTTGCCTTCCAAGATGAATGGGGCAGAGTTTCTTTAGGCATAAACTGATGAAATTTTTATCTTGTACACACATGAAAAATAGAGAACTGTTGTCATTTTTCAGTTCAACTACAAATGAAGTCATCATTCAACAAAATTATCCTCATATATTAAAGTTCAAAAAGGAGTGTTCATCATTCCAAATAAAAAGTAATTGCTGTACTTATTCAGAAAGATGAAGTCACAAAAAAATACTGAATGGAAACATTAACGAAGCCAAGAAAATGTAAAGAAAAGCCTTGTGTTTTGTAAGCCTACATTTATATATAGAGTAAATCTACCTAATTGTACTGCAAGAGAAAGCAAATGAGTACATCAATCTTAAAAAAAACAGTCTAGAAAATTTGGACAAAAAATACTTTTATATCTTGGAGAAGTGGTGTAATATATCTCTAGAAAACAAAACTGAATTAGTTATGTTAAAGACAGGAAATATTTGAAAGTTGGTAATGTCTAGGATTGATTACTTCATTAAAAGTGATCACTAGATCAGAAAGGAAACAGTTGCATCTAATGTGAATGATTACTTTCTCATATGAGCGATGAAGCTTATTGGCAACATCCACATGGTTGTTAAAGAAACAGATTGCTTTGGTATTTTTTCCTGTAAGTCTGATCCACTTTGTATTAGCCAAATGTCGTATTTTATTCGCTTATACATTTTCTTGTACAAGGCTGAATAATACATCTGCTTTAGTAGTTTGGCTTTTTTTTTTTTGTAAAGTTTCTGTCCTTGCTTTCATTTCTGCAAGAAAATGGTAGCCTTTGCCTATGCACAGCTAGGATATTTGAAAGCAGTAAGTAGCTGTTCTCCGAGGCAAACTCCCCTCAGCCTCTTTTTCTGACAAATCTCTTGTCCTCTTCTCACATTTTCATCTTTCTTCTTCCCGCAAAGTCACACGCAGGGGTGTGATGCAAAGAAAAAGTGGGAGTTCTGTCATGAGTTTCCACATTCTTTCTAAAATAAGATATCCTGACATGATTCAGGGGGCCATAGCAGAAGCAAGGTGAATCCAAGGTATGTAAACCCCTTCTTCCTCAGCCTAAATCCTTAAGTTACTCATAAACCTTGGGAATTTAAAGGATTAGGAAAGGAGCAGAATTCCTGCCTGCAATAGCATTTTCAAGCTGTTACCTCTTCAGGAAATTAACAGTGTAATTAAAATAGCAATAGGCACATTAGTAAGAGCTTAGACTCTTCCTAGCTACTGTAGGTACACACCATAATTAGTCATTACTTAAAGTTTTCAGCACTGGTATTTCTTGAACTAATTAATCTCCCAGTTCACTATACAAACCATGGGGACAAAGAGGTGATGGAAGGCTCAGAGTAAGCAACAGGCTTCAGCACGTGTGTAAACTTTACAACTTACATACATCTTGCTGATAAGAACTTAGAATCTCTCTTAGATGTAACATCAGTGACCAAACATGATTAATACAGGATCCTACACGTTTGAGCAGTCGATTATTACAGTGGAGGGAGCACAGGGATGGTGCTGTGATAGTAGGATGGAGCATATCAGGAAAAAACAGAGGCTTAAGGAAAGGTGGGAGATCTCTCTGAAAGGTATTGTCTGCCATAAGACAATACAGGAGAATAACTTTTGTAAGGGAAGTTTGGTTACGTTACCTAAGTAGATTTAAAGGTAGTTGTATTTCCATTTTGCTTGATCTCAGATTTATAGAAACGTTTATTTCTAATGAACTCAAAGTATGTGGATGCTAAAAAGCAAAACATGTTGATTTCCTTAGTGTTGTAAGCTTTCATATGAACAGTCAGTATTTGTAATAAAACATTGCCTTTGGCTGTACAGATAGAAATACAGTACAGATGATAGAAACATGCTCAGTAACTGTAACCCTTAACCCCCTCTAATTTCTTTTGTTACAAAACTCCTAAAATTCTATGTTTGAAACTAACTGATCCTGCGTTTGTGGTAAGCTCAGTGGTGTCAGTGCTCTTGCCTTCAATGAACTTTTGTCTGGATTCAAACCACAAATAGGTGGCAGTTTACGTTGGAGGAATTGTCCCCTAAATTTAGTTCACTGCTGTTAAGGTGGAAACATCACTGAATTTAATGATGTTTTAAACTCTAATTTTAGAGTTTTCACTTTGTTTAGGGCTGAGAATTCAAGTATTGAAACCTCTTGAGGGAAACAAGCTTAATGCAGTTTCCTATTACTATTTTGAATACACATGTATGGGATTATTAGAGGTAATAATTAGACTACGTTATTTTGAATATTTAGTTCCAAAATGCCAACAGTCACATTTAAACTCAGTGATGGAATCTCCTGTTGTAATTTTTTTTAAAACACGCTGTAGGAGAGATTTCTTTTACTATGAAAGATATCATACATTACTAACGCAAAGCAAACAACTAAATCCATCTTGCAATTACACTAGAAAGAATTAAACGTAGTTTGAAGGTAAAAAGTATAGAATTACAAGTGCTGGGCTATAGGCCAGTTGGCGCTCCTGAATTTGGACCTTACGGAAACTTCTCTGTCCATAACTTCCAAGCAATTCTTAAACCATATTGTTATTTATAGTATTACTTGTACTAAGCCGTTCCATGACACACACTTAGTATCTGATTTTAACATTTAGAAAGAGATAAATTTCCAACCTGATCCTGGTTTTGACAGGTGTATACACTATTCTTTATAATCCAACTGTCCATCCTGTTTACAAGGTGATTACACATTAAGGTGGTTTTAATTTTGAGTCGTTTGTGCATCTCAAGGAACATCGAAATCAAGATACACGTTTAAAATTCATCTGAATAATAAAACAGTTCCAGAGACTATAGTAGATAAAAGATTTTCGTATGCCATACAGAGACCAAATTTCTTTCTTTCATCTCAAGTGGGAATGCTTTTAGTTTCTAATAAAATTAATGACCAGATTCTGTCGTACTTACTCCCGAGTAATCCCAGTGAGATTTCAGTTACTTAACAAACATAAATGAAAAGTGTCTGGCTCTTAGCAAATACTCCTCAGTTCAGCAAAACAGTATGAGGGATTCTGTTTTACACTTGCAAGGTATTAGCTTTGCAAAAGGTGAAGTTTGATTAATCATTTTGTGAACATTGATGAGTCTCTGTAGGGTGTGGGTTTCACTCTTCCTATCTGACAAGTCCCTGCAGTTTACCAAGGGCTGTGAGGCTGTATGAACGAAGGGATAACCTGTAAGTTTTAATTGCAAATATGAGGTTTGTAACCTAGAACTTACAGCACTTTTTCCATCAAATTTCACAGTGGTCCACAAAGGAGGATAAAATTATTGCCTCCATTTTACAGATGAAAAATGGAGGTACAGGAAGAGAAATCATTTGCATGCAGGCATCTAGCAGGCTAGCAGCAAAGTCAGAAAACAAAAGACTTGTTTGGCATCCCGTCCAGCAATCCACAAATTGCCTAATTTATCAGCTTTTTTTTTTGACAGGGTTGCTGCAAATTGAGTTGAAGACAAGGAAAACTTGCTTTTGGCGTCACCAGAAGGGAAAGCCAGATACATACCTTTCCACAATAGAAGCCATTTATTATTTCCTTGTGGACTATCATCAGGAGATTTTGAAAGAGAAGTACAAGGGACAATATGATAATCTGCTTTTTTTCTTTTCATTTATGTACACATTGATTAAAAATGCAAAGTGTTGTGCAGGAAAAGAGTAAGATGTCTGTCTATAGGTAAGTAATACTACCTTTTATGTTGTTTCTTTTGTAATGATAAACTGCACAAATGGAACTATTATCTAACTAAAATCTGGAAGTAGATTGTACTCTTAATAACGGCTACAGTGTTTGTCCAGAAGTAAGCTGCAGACCTCATGTCCTGCACACTTTCGGATGAGCAGTCTGATTAGAATTACTTCTGTGAAAATACTTATGCTTTGCTAAATATTACTGTGTTTGAACCTACAGACCTGATATGCTCATCACAGTGAGATTATTTCCTGGAGGTGGGGGTAGGAAGACGTGGCCCCTCTTGCCCTGAGGAGAGATCTCTCTATCTGTAAATAGGAATTAGCATGCTAGCTTTTTATTACTATTATTAATACTGTTTCAGGTGTTTTCTTTGTGTTTTACCCAGTAATACTGATTTCACTTTCATGACATCAAAAACTTACTGAAATTATTAGGATGGTATTTAATTTGGGGGGATGGGGGCGCCAATACAAAATGAAAGACAACATGAAGTGAATAGAATATAAATTATGTACTTTCAAGATTAATTCTGGAAAATTGTCCGAGTAATGGAAAAGAGCAATCTCTTTAAACATCATTATACAGTGCATGATTTCTATAGCACCATTCACGTACTGTTATATTAAGATTATTCTCAACTTCTTGGATAATTTTAGACCTCTTCAAACAAATTAATTTAGGTAAGTGTTTATTATTATTATGTATCATTATTATTTTTGGGAACACTAACTTAACAAATGTCACTATGGCATATCACAGACAGTAAAATTTTGTAGATGCCACATACTTATATTGTAAGCAGCAGAAAGGGCTCATTGCACTGTAGGAGTCCTCTGAAAATGCAGATCTTTTTGCAGGACCTAAGACAAAGTAATTTGCAGAGACAAGAAATAGGGAAGATGGTGGTTCTGACCACAACATTTCTGACAAGACTTCCTTAAATTAGGCAGACTATGAATCTGCTGTGTTTTTTATCTTTGCAGTAATAGTGCAAATTTGAACAGCATAAATAAGACTTTCTCTATGCTGATGAAATTTTTGCTGGTATGTGTAGCACCGCTGGCAGAGTCATCCCATGTGAATGTGGTAATACAAGTGTCTTTGCCAACCTATACCATACAGCTAATGCTGGCAGAGGCAATAGACCTAAGCTGTATCGTTACGAGCAGAGTTATACAAACATATTTTTATCATACTAGGATGTTCTGCCAGAAAAATTCATGTTGGTAAAAATTACAGTCTTAAGGTAGAAAAAAACGTTTCATTAGGGGTACGATATAAGATGGATAAATATTTCTGAATACTTTCAGAAGTATGTTACTTAAGAAAAAATTAAATCTTGTTGAAGTTACACAGATTGAAAAATAATAGTAGTTTGTTTTTTTTTTTTTTAAAGAAAAATTCCAAAGTTTTTGTTGTATATTTTCCTCAGCAAATCTGGCTAAATTATAACCTGTAGCATACTCTCCAGGAGGGCACCCTCACAGCCTGGTGAACACAGAAACAGTGCCTTGAAAAAATACTTCAAGAAAATCCTTTTAAGCTTACACAGCAATCCATACAGGCTCAAACAACTGATTTGTACTATGTTTTTTAATGCTTCAAGATATTGAAATAAAAGTTAATATTGCTTAAAACACAAGATACAAATACACTCTCTCCACAAGTCATACTTATCTTCAGATTTGTGTGCTTATCTGCACAAGTGAACGTACATAACAATGCATTTCAGTTCACAACCAAAACACATCTCGTCCATTTGCAAAAAGAAATGCTAGTTAAGTTACATGAGTGCACGTGAAGCATGCGTGAACTATAACAGCACCACAGGAAACACAGGCTTGAAGTCAGAATGAGAAAGCTTGTTTTTAAATATACATATATAATGGCACAGCTGTTAAGTATATTGTGAGCTCATGTGCCAGGCAATGAGAAAAATCAGCAGTCATGTCTCAGTGCTATTGAAACAACACATTTCTTACTCATTTGGTTCTTATTGCTATTGAGGGGTTATTTTGGCTTTTTACAATGATTAATGCTATTTCCTTTGGTATGAATTTTGATAGTCTTTTGACATTTCCATCTGTTCTTGTATTTCTTAAACAAAGATTGCTGTAATATTTTTAAAAAAATCACACAAGTATAATAGCTTGAGAAGGAAACTTTCACCCATTTTAAACAAACAAAAATAAAATGAACCCACTGACCTAATGTTTTACAAGAACCAGAGAGAAAAATCGGGGGGGGGAGTTACTTCCAAGACACATTTCCCTGAAAACATGTTTTTTTTATTTAAGAAGCAGAGGTCAGATAAAAGCTTATATAAGCTGTTCTTTGTTACTTTTGGAAAATAGTTTCATAAGGTTAAAAATGGTTTCCAAATTTAAGTTTTGTGTACCTCACTTTATTTGAACAATGGGAATTAAGAATCTATTCCAAAAGTAAATTAATTTTAATTCTCAGGTGAAATGAACGTACAGAAAAGATTTTCAATCTGGAACACTGTGTCCAGGAATTGGGTTCAGATTCTTTTTCTTCCAGTGCAACCTCAGTGTAATGCAAGAGTCATTCTTAGCCCAAGCAACAGAGGCACATTGAATATCCGTAATTAATTATGGTCTGTTGATATTCCTGCAATAACCTTTTATGAGGGCAGGAAGGAGGTTATTGTCACTTCTGCTGCAAATCTGTTCTGTCTGAGCAGCAGACGTAGTTCCCCCTTCTCTCCCATCTCCTGCTCTCCCCTCAATAAAAAGATTTAAATCTTGCATTTAATTTCAGCACCGGTACTGAAATACTGAAGCCAAACCTACCAAGTCATCCACCTCACACTGAAAATGTCTCAATACCACTGGTACATTTTTCCAGCTTTGAGACTGAAGAATAGTTTTGTTCCACCAAATGAAAGCGATCAAGTGGTTAATCCTTTCAAGTGCAATTAGCAGCACTGACCTCCCCGTTCTTTAAAATGAGGGTCACAGGGAGGTAAAGGCCAGTTCTGGGCCTTTTCTTTCATATCAGAATATCCCTTCACTAACTATCTCTTCTGTTTCCAAAAACATCAGAGAGCAAGGGGGAAAACAGGCTTCTACTTCCATTAGCAGTAACTTAAACAGCCATAAGTTAAAGGGGGAGGAAAAGGACGAGCATCTCTATCTATCTCCTTTCACAACAGAAGACATCTGGCCTCCTGTGGGGAGGCCCCAGATAACAAAGAACCTGTCATTAAACCTCCGAGATGTGTTCAGAGAACCATTTTACCTGCAGTCTGGCTCATTCATTTCCTGCCACTGAAGCCATCTGCTTTTGCTTATTGTGGGTATTTTTGTTCTTTGTTTGGCCAGGAGGGTGAAGTGGCTTCACTTTAGCATGCCTGTATGCTTGGTCAGAGGGAGGATTTAATCCTTTCTCAAAATGAGTAAGAGGGAGCTGCAAACAACAATTCCTTTTCCTGGAAGGTAGCACAAAAGTCATCCAAGCCCAGGTTGAATAAAGGGTCATGTCAGTGCATGGGGTAAAGATACATTGAGATTGAAAAGAGATGGCAACTTGGAATCTACAGCAGAACCTTCCAAAGCACTTGTAATCTCACCTGACTTAAATCTTTTGCTACTGCTTCTTGCAGTTTTTTTTCAGTTTGAGTCCATCTCGTTTTCCACATAGGCTTCTTCGGCCCCAATTGCAGAGTAATGTAGCAATCTGTTCTTGCTTTTCTCTTGCACCGAGTTTCACTATTTTGCCTGAATGCTTTAAAAACCAGTCTGTCTTCATAAATGATGGTCTTGGCATACTTATATAAAATGTAACGTGACGTGACAATCCATTCCACCTCTCCCTATCTTTGAAAATACCGAAGTGAGGAGGGGGAAACTTCCTGTTAGTTTCCCATCATTTACTCTAATGCAGTTATGACACTCCCAGGTACCACTGACTTGTGTCTCAAAGTATTCCAAAAAGCTGCGCATCAGCTGAATTCATCGAACTTGTTTTGCGACACAAAAACTCAGTGGTGACTGCAGCAATGTTAAAACAGGAAAGCTTTCCCACTAAGATGAAAAGATTGTGTAAGGTGCTGATCTATTGATACCAGAAGATGAGGTCACCCACTGAGGTACTGAACGACTCAACATAATTCCTGAACTGTTATCCCCTGTCTTGAGAGACATTATTTTAGTAAAATTCCAATGCTGTCATTAGTAAGAAAGTTGATTTTGACTGGTCACAAGTAGCAATGCCAACATTCAAAGTGTTTCTAAGAAAAATTTACAACGTTCTTCCTGCTCACTTGTTGGGAAAGATAACACATTGCTGCCATTTTATGGATTCTGAAGAGAAATCAGATGCTGTAGAATTTTGAAAGTGGTGTATCACATTAAACTTTAAAAACACTCATAGTGGTGTGGTTTTACCACTACCTGCCAGAAAAAACATTCAAATAGTTCTTGAGTCCCACAGCAAGAGGCAGGAACTACTTCTCTCATGCAAAACAGACTCTGTATTTTAACCTCACTGAAAATGGAAATTTTTGTCTAACTTTAGCAATACTGGTGCTGTTACTACATTCAAATCAACTGTGATTTTACTGCTGACTTTTCAGACCACTAGTGTTGCAATAGGATGTTTAGAAACATACCACAGAAGAGTGAACGGAAGAGAATGCTCCACACCAGTCTACCCAAGACTGAGTCCTACTCGACCTATGATCCCTGTGCGCTTCGCTTCCCTTACCTATAAAGTTAATTTCTGCCTCTGAATAACATGTCTCTACACATGAAGCTGCACCCGTAAGCCAGTTGAACTCAGCATGAAATCTAAAGGCTAAGTATTATTACTCTGATGGTAAAATTTCTGCTTTTCCAACAGGGACAGAAGAGCTATACAGAAGTATGTGTATATGTGTAAATATTAATAAATATATACCTCCCTCCTAGCGATAAATGCATTAGGACACAAGCCAAAGATTTTTCTCCTATGCTGTTTCTGTCTTCGGGAACATAAAGACAAAGAAAATCAAAGTGTGGTATCAGAGTTTACAAAATTAAAGAATAAACTGTTATATGTACAGAGCAAATGTGTACTTTAGATACAGACATCCGGCTGAGCCTGTTAATGTACACAGATGAGTCGTTTGACTAGGAATTCATTTATTAAGTTTGGACGCAATATCCAGCACAAGTGCTGCATTATCCCTCTAAACAATACACTGGAAAAACAAGTAATATTTCATACCTTTTCACTATTCTGAACATTGCTGCTAATGAGCCTAGTGTAGTTCCCTACTCTTTATCTCGTGAAGTATCATGCTTTCGTTGCATCTCCAAGCAGCACTGAAGAAAAAAAAAAAAAAATTAAGCACATCCATCCAGGCTTAACAGGGCATGCCGAAAGAGGCCGAAGGCATAAACAGGTTATTCCAAAACAATTAAGAGTAAAACTGCAAAGAAAAATTTAGAGAGTGTTGAGCTACACAGAAATTCTGACTCACCTGCACAGAGGAGATGCCATGGATCATGCTCCGCCATTTGCTTAGCAGAGAAGAGGAAAAAGGAGCAAGAGCGCACCCACCCTGGTCCTAAGGAACACGCGTTTGCCTCGAGTAATCGCATGCATGAACACCTGCAGTGAACACGCGCATATATGACCCTTGATAGAAAATTCATTTTATATGTAATGCAACGTGATGTTTTCCTTGCTGTCTTTTGACTACTTACTGGAGAACAAAATAATCAAGCCAGCATTAGTGTTTCTCTGATGTTTTGGGGTTTTATTAATAATATGCAATTAGTCTATAAATTCCTCGGTTTATGCTAGTATTTACTCTATTTCAATGTAGTTTTGTTACAGACAACAGCATGTAAACCTATTAATGTAACTGATTTTATAATATACCTTCTGTCCTACCAAACTGAGATAAGACCTAGCCTCTACTCTGTGAGAATACGTTTTTGTGCGTATGATCTGGAATAACATGTAACTTCAATAAAACAAGTTTTCTGTGAGGTAAGTAACATGGACTCTTCATTTTTTGCGACATTTTATGTCTCAGTATCATCTTCAACAGACATGCTATCAACAACGATTGGATATAATCTCTAGTCATATTAATGTCTGTATCTGTTAATGTCCACAAGACCTGGTTTTAAACATACTTTAGGGCTCTTGAGGCTTTCATCATAATGACTTAGGCTGGTTTCCACAGGGAAAAACCTAACTTCGACTCAATTAAAAATTAAATTATAAAAAACATTCCTAGGATGCACTCCGTTTTGAAGGGTCTCATAATCAGTGAGTCCTTTTTTTAAACCATGCTTGAATGCCACCCTCACAGCCTAGAAGTCTGCTTTAGTACCATTTCTGAAACTATTCGCTTTGGAGACAGACGCTAATGAATTGAACAGAATCAGACTTTTTGTAAGTCTAAAAATAGTATCCTTAGTGTCTTTTCTACAGAAGAATAATACTTTGAGTTCCAGCAAAAAAGTTTGCTGAAACTGAAACTACAGACTTAATTTCAAATGCTGCTGCTAATGCTAAATAAAAATTCTGTATTTCAAGAACATAGTTTTATTTCTTTCAAAAATTATTTTTGGGGCTTCAGTTTCATGACTAAGTTGTTTGCCAAATGCAGCATGAATTCCAGCTGACCTGAATCTGTATTTCTTAGTGATTCGTCTATGCAACTGAAACATTCTATCTAGCTTTCTCTGCTCACAGGCTTCCTTTGGGCCGAATCAATGCTGCAGAGGCAATTTTTTTCATATTCGCAGCAGACAAGGAAGCAACTTGATACGGCTTCAATTTTCAGAAATACCATGTAAAGCACTTCAGTCTACTTGAAGCAGTTGGATCCCACTACTTCTTCTTTTAACCTCACACATGTCTAAGTGTGTTTAGAATATTGGCTTCGATCTGCATACCTATGTCAGTTAAGAGTACAAAAACGATGGCATTCTTTTCAATCATGACTGCGTTGGCAAAAAATACAACGTAGAAACCTTTACATTGCCAAAAGCTTCCTCTTTTCCTTGAATATGGCTTACTTTATTGGGGGAACTGGTTTAAAAAATCAATGCCTGAAGCAGCCGCCAGGGAATTTGCCAACAAAACTATACTGCCAAACTTAAATGCAGAATAATCTCTAACATAGGCATAGTGTAACTGATTTTGCTCATTTTAAAAAGGAGAATCCATCGGAAAAAACATAATGGGGTAAGAAACGAGAAATCTTGAATCTTCTGCAGTCCATGAAACCTAACACAGTAGATTCAAGCGAGCAAGGTAACGTGCAATACTGCAGCTGTTCCAACATCTGCATGGTTCCATGGAAGTGGCCAGGATTTCTTTTTCTAGGCCCCTGCAAAGTTTTGCAGTGGCTATTTTCAGTTAGACATGCCTATGTATATTCATCTTGCGAGGCATCAGTTTAGAAAAGACATTTCTTGTTTGTCTCTCTACATTGGCACTTTTCTTGTGAGAAATTAACATATCATAACTAACACTGTACTGAACTCTGTCATTGGTTTTTAGTACCTTTTTGTGCTTTCCAGAGTTCCAGTATTGGCATGCCAGTGATAATAGAATTGGGATCTTCCTGTGCTGCTGAGTTTACTGTGTCATTTGCACCAGTGACCAGAGCCAAGTCTGTATCTGAGACAAAAAGGAAATAGATTACAAAATGTGTTATTATGAAAGGAAAAGCCACTGCTTCAAGTTATCGAGACAACACCAAAGCACGTTAATCAAGCATACAATATATGATGACAGTTTGTTGTTTCATCTGAATGAAAAAAATTAGGTCCATCTGTTGGTGTTCAAACCTAGAATCGAATCTTGGCAGTTACATGTGCTAATGAAAACCATTAAAAAAAATCTTGTGCATTCTCTGGGTAAGATATCATGAAAATAAATACTCCTAAGATTTAAGAGGCAGACTTACGCAAGGCCCTTGTGAGGTGGCTAAATAGAGCGCATATGTGGGATCCGAGGATGACGTCCATTATGGTATACCATGTAGTTTATTTCAACACTACTCACTTATCGTCCAAATCTACAATCTCTTTTCTGTTCAGTTCCTCAGTTCCATGGCTCTGCATGCAAGAAGCACTCCGTTTACATACAATCATCGTAGGTCCAGGAATTAACATTTTAGTAGTCCAAGAGATTCCACAGCTTGGATTAAGATGGTAGAACACAGCTCTAAAAATTGCTAGTAATTCCTACAACCTCAGGTTGTGCTCATGAATGGTGTATTTCTAGACTAACCCTACTGGTAAAGAAGTGGGGCTTAGTTTAGAGCTGTAGCACCAGCAGTATCAACTAGATCACCCTTATCCTCATGCTCATTGAATCCTTCAAGGAACTCTTAATGGGTTTGTGAATAGTGACATCTGCAAAAGCAGCAGTGATTCCTCTGCCAAACATACTTACCCATGTGCCTATCAATTCTTTTCTTTTTTTTTTTTTTTTTTTTTAAAGTTGTTCACAGTTTGCCCAGTAAAGCCAAGCTTAATGGTCTGTACATCTGTTCAATCTCCTACAGTCCTTACTGAAATCAGCATCGCCTTCCAGCTTCCATTCCTCTTAACCTTTTTAACCACAGGGCTGGCTACGCCTCCCAGGAGCCTGGCAACCAGAGAAGGCAAGGGTGTTCTGGCTGTACCATTTTTATACCTTCTGCAACAGCCCTCCCAGTGACTGAGATGCATGAGCCAAAGGAATTTAGTGTACTGCTACACAGAGTACAGCCTCCAGGAGTGAGACAACCATAGGTCTACTTTGAGCAAAGAGGGGAATAAAAGCCGTCTTGACACAGAAACGTCTGTATTCCCTGCTGTTTCTAAGTTCCTAAAATGCATGCAAATGTAATGTCAACAAACTTACATCATCAGATGCAACAATGCAAGCAGATTAGCCTCCTTTGCAGCAATGAAGCTACACCTATTTCAGATGTTTATGAAAAGTAGATACATCATCTTGCCTCTCCAGACTGAGTTTATAGGATGGACAGTGACTCAGAAACATTTTAAGATTGTCAGCTGAAAAGATTTGACGTGGAGTCTTCTCAGATTCCATGGTGCTAAGTTCAGCTCGTAAACCTTCCTTTATGAGCTATCACCTGCATGTTTGCTTGGAACAAAATCATACAGTTTGACTCCCATCCATTAAGCTGGGTCCAGTGATGCAAAGCAGCTCTAAAACAGATAAAGCAGTGAAGAATTCTTATGTGAAGGAAATACGGCCAGTGCAAGGTGATGCAAAGATCTGAAAAGGTGCTGTTGAAATTACCAGATCCCCACCTGTCATCAGTGGCCTACGTAGCCTTTGGTTTAATAGTCAGCCTGAGAAGGAGGGGGAAGGTCTACAGGCAGCATAGAGCCATTTTTGCCTTTCTTCCCGATGCTACCGATCATACACATCTCCAGAGAAATGATTACAGCTGTTATGGCCTTCCCTACTTACGCAGCGTGCAATATATTAGGAAAGATTTGCCATCCTCACAAACTTAGGACTTATACAGAAAAAAAAATCTAAAAAAGAGACAATTAAGTGAGTGAAAATTAAAACCACAAATCATTAACACCCTGAACACTGATTTTTTTTTTGTGTGTGTGTGTGTGTACACTGCAGCGTTCTATTTGGAATTCACTATTTTATTGCAAATAAAGCCTCTGACCCTTTTAAAAATAATTTCTTTAATCTTCAGGGGAAGAGTATATAAACATCTTGACTAATAAAAAATTTCTAGGACTTTGAGTGTTTTCTGTTGGATTTTTTAATGTGACTATACAAAAACAACAGCACTTAACATTGCTCTCTAGAGCAGCCTGCTCTGCGGGGGGAGGCACTTTGGCAGTTCTCTTCCTTTTTTTCCATATCCCTCTCCTTTCAGAGGCCCCTCATCGTGATGACCCATCCATTTGGCTAAGGGCTGCATGCAGCTGCATCTGAAAGAAGCCAACTGTATTCTTGGGTCAGCTGGAGAAGTCTGCTTGATTACAACTGTAGGTATATACAGTGCTTCTAACGCCCGTAACTTAGGGGAGAGGAGACCTAGGCCCCACCTCAGGTTTCAGCGGAGGGGCAAAACAGATCAGCCGGCTACATAGCAAGTGCTCAATAGCTTCAGGCAATCCAATGCATAAAAACTATTTTATTTAAGGTTTTTCTCCTACATCTTTGGAACCATAGTCTTTTGTCCTCGTGCATTCATAAAATACTATAACTTTTTGCAATTTGTTTTAATGAAAGAAGAATGATTAGCTGGCACATTTCAGCTCAGTGGCTATGCTGTCCTGTAGATGAGATGTGTGAAAACTGAATGTTTCCTGATCTCCGTTAATATTTTCCATGTATAGCTATCCTACAGAAATTAAACTTTCTTAAAATATCATGACATAAACTTTTTTGTTATTGTTGCAAATTGAAAATGAATGTTGGCCAAAGCTTGTCATTCTTGAAGAAATCTCAGACTGAATAGCTGATTACCCCTGCATAAATCTTGGCAGTGCCGGGTTACCCATTTTTAGGAAAAGCAAGAGAGTATTTTATGAGAATTAACACAAAGAGGGAGGCCCAGTGAAGTAACTTCAGTAACTTCATCTCATATTTCTTTGCTATAAACCAGTACCATTCAAAGGTCAAAAAAAAGAAATCCATTTAAGGTTCATGCCCAAATTCTTTGTATTTCCACTATCCCCAGCTCTACGCTAGAGGCCTTCGTTATTTTTTAAGATGAGAAAAACTCCCAGCAGAGTTCACAGATGTGAAGTGAGGCATTGTTCATTAAGGTCTAATCATAAAGAGCAGATCCGACTGACATCGTGGCTGGAATATACAGCAACAGTAAAACCTCAAAATTGCAGGATATGACAAATGGCATAAACCTGATGAAATTCAGATTAGCGTAGTCTTAGATCTAGGGCCTTGATGAACCCTTTTGCCCTGTGCTGAATCATTACAAAAGGATGAGGACTGTAGTACTGCCAAAATGTATGCT